TCCCTAATGAAGTTTATCCAGGTGAATCTGGAAAAATCATCCACAACAACATATGCATATCTCTTTCCACCAAGACTTTCCACCTGTATGAGACCCATCAGATCCATATGTAGAAGTTCTAGCATCTTAGAGGTGGTTAGATGTCTTGTCTTTGGATGTGATATTCTAGTTTGCTTTCCAACCTGACATTCACCACAGACTCTCCCTTCATCAATCTGAAGCCTTGGAATCCCTCTGACAGCCTCCATGAATATGATCTTTTTCATCCCTCTAAGATGTAAATGACCAAGTTTTTGGTGCCACAGTTTCACTTCCTTTTCTTCTTTGGCTATAGAGCACACAGAAGAGTAGTTAGTGTTCTCAGACTCCCATAAGTAATAGTTGTCTTTTGATATGGCTCCTCTCATTACAACTTCTTGTTTTTCATTAGTTACAAGACATTAAGACGGTGAAGTTGACCTTGAATCCTAGATCACATAATTGACTGATACTTATGAGATTAGCAGTCAAACCATTTACCAGTAACACTTCATTTAGGTTTGGAACTCCAGGACAGTCCAAGTTTCCAACTCCTTTGATTTCTCCTCTAGCACCATCTCCAAAAGTGACATAACTAGTAGTATGAGGTTTGACATCATTCAGCAGATTCTTGATTCCAGTCATGTGTTTAGAGCATCCACTATCAAAGTACCAGTCTTCCTTGGCAGAAACTCTAAGGGAGGTGTGAGCTATCAGGGCTGCAGTCTTTTTCTCCCACTGTTGAGTGTATAGTTCCTTGTTAGTCTTAGGGTTGACACATGGGGTCTGATTAGGATATCCATATAATCTGAAGCAGAATGGCTTTATGTGACCAAACCTCCCACAATAATGACATCTCCATCTTTTATACTTTTTCTTCATATTTCTCTATTCTTGATGTTGAGTCTTATGTTGTGACATCTGCTTTGACATTTGTTTATCAGGCCTGGTCTTCTTCTTGTCTATAGCAGATTTCTTTGCAGCCACAAATCCTAGACCAGACATGTCTCCTGCATTTTGTCCAGCCTGAAGGATTTCTTCCAACTTGTCAGTTCCAGTTGTTAACATCTTGACAGACTTAGTCATCTGATCAAGTTTGGAGTTCAACATTAGAACTTCACCTTTGAGATGGCTTATAGTAGCAGTGTCTGCCTTCTTCTTAACCTCCAACTTCACTATGAGCTTTTTCTGTTTCTCATTTTGCTGACAGACTTCAGCACTTCTGATACATAGCTTCTTGTAGGTGTCAGCAAGTTCTTCAAATGTCACTTCCTCATCACTAGAATCATTATCAGAGTTACAAACACCAGATAGTGCAGTAACTAGTTTAACAGATTCTTCTTCAGAGTCAATTTCTGAGTCACTATCAGACCAAGTAACAGACATTCCTTTCTTTTGTTTCTTTAGAAAGGTAGGACATTCAGCTCGAATGTGCCCATATCCTTCACATCCATGGCATTGGATTCCTCTGCTTTGATTTCCCTTTTCTTCAGACTTAGTTCTTCTGCTGGAGTCATAGGATCTGCTAATGTCAGAGGAAATATTCTTGACATTTGACCTTGACTTTGGTTCCATTCTCTTAATGAGTTTGTTGAACTGCCTTCCAAGCATAGCTATGACTTCTGATATATTTTCTTCATCACTCTCCTTGCTTTCATCTTCAGTAGTGGATACAAGGGCTATGCTCTTGTTTTTCTTATCAACATTGTCACTGATCCCCATCTCAAATGTCTGAAGTGACCCAATGAGTTCATCAACCTTCAAGTTGCAGATATCCTGAGCTTCCTCTATAGCAGTCATTTTCATTGCAAACCTTTTAGGCAAGGATCTGAGAATCTTTCTCACCAGCTTTTCTTCTGACATCTTTTCTCCCAATGCTCCTGAGGTGTTGGCAATTTCCAAGATGTTCATGTGAAACTCATGAATGGTCTCATCTTCCTTCATCCTTAGATTCTCAAATTTGGTAGTGAGCATCTGAAGTCTTGACATTTTTACTTTGGATGTATCCTTATGGGTGGTTTTGAGAGTGTCCCAGACATCCTTGGCCAGTTCACATTGATGTACTAGTCTGAATATGTTTCTATCAATTCCATTGAACAAGGCCTTTAATGCTTTAGAGTTACCCAGGGCTAACTCTTCTTCTTCTTTGCTCCATTCTTCCTCAGGTTTTAGACTAGTCGTCCCATCTTTCCCAGTTATGGTGGGATGGTTCCATCCTTTGTCAGCAGCTCTCCAAGCTTTATTGTCCAGTGACTTCAAGAAGGCAATAATACGAGGTTTCCAGTAGTCATAGTTTGATCCATCCAGAATAGGTGGTCTGTTCCCAAATCCTCCTTCCTTGTCCATAGCGCCAGAAAATAATATCCCTAGATCTCACCCAGAAAGACAGGCAGGATGCCTGCTCTGATGCCAATTGAAATTCTGGCAACAGATACTTAATGTCACAGTGAATGTTATGACACAGTATCTGACAAATTGTACACAAACCAAACAGTAATTTAAAAGACAGTAAATAACACAATCAATTATTAACCCAGTTCGGTGTATAACGACACCTACATCTGGGGGCTACCAAGCCAGGGAGGAAATTCACTATAAAAGGTATTAATTTAGGAATAAACCAACCAGTTTATCTCCTTCACTTAAGACCTACCCAATGTAACTTCAATCTAAGTCCTACTTAAACCTGAGTTCCTACTCACTCCCCCTCAATCACAGCAATGATACTAATCTACTGATTAATAAGATTATGAAGACATTCTTCAATACACACGCTTGATTTTGCTTCAAAGCTTTAATCAAGAGACACAACACTCGTGCTTCAAAGCTTTGAGTGATAAACAACCCTTACAACCAAAACCTACTCCAAGTCACTTATCAAGTGATAATTGCTTGGCTCACAGTAATTACTAAAACTAGTACTCCTACAAAAATGCCTTATTGATCTTCTATTTAAGCGCTGCACACCTTTAGAATTTGTGAGAAATATATATGCAGTCTATTCTTCATTTTCGAACTTCCATAAAAATAGTTAGGGTTAACCAAAGTTAACCTAAAGACTTGGTCTTGGGCTTTCATCATAACAGATTAGGGTTAAGCAAGGTTAACCTAATATCCACGTGAGCATCTGATCTAGTCAACATACTTCAACTCAGAGCAGCACACCAGATTCCTGAAAAATCTCAGGAACAATAAATCTGCACAACAACTTGATCAGTACAGGATGTCTTAACATGGGTTATGACATTGGTTATGACATCATGTATCCTGCTCACTGATTTTGGTAGAATTCAGTACATATGATCATAGCTTAATTATCATGATATTCACTCATACTGAGTTGTTCCTGTAGAACATTCCTTCTGCAGAATTTGTCTTTATCCCAGAATGTTATGATATCAGTCATGCCATTCGCAAATCTGGTTTTACCAAAAAATAATGCCAACAAGCAAACACTTACAATAATAATAATAATAATAATAATAATAATAATAATAATAATAATAATAATAATAATAATAATAATAATAATAATAATAATAGATTAATTAGAATATTGTTAATGTAAAACCACTTTACAATGTCATCAAATTAAAATAAATCATTTTGACACGTGAGAGGAGAGAAACATAAAAGAAATAATTACTAAAATAATTTAATGAAACTTAAAAGAAATAGTTACTAAAATAATTTTATTATAATTTGTTTTTTATTTTAAATTCCATATAGATGTGTGAAAATAATTTATTCTAATTAGATACCTATAAAGTAATTTTACATTAATAGTATATATATATATATCAGGTGTAGATTTATACCAAATCTCAACCGTTAGAAGAATTGATCGAATAATTATATTAAATAAAATAAATAAAAATATATTATCTATTTTTTTTTAAAATAAACTATTCATATGACTGTTTGATCGAATGTTATTAACGGCTTAAACTTAGTGTAAATCTATTAGACTTACACCTAATGTCCATATATCATACTGAAATTTAAACTAAATTAATTGTACTTTTTTCTTTTTCCTTTATTGTTTAAAAGGAATATTTTTTATTATTAAAAATAATATTTTTTTTGACTAATTAAAATTTATATTATTAATTATTCTATCACAAAATAAGTAATTTAATTGATAGATCTATTAAAAAATAATACAACTAAAAAGATCAATCAACATTACTTTAATTTATTGTTGCATTCATATTTATTATAAAAAAATGTAAAGTTAAATATACCTAGAAAAGAGAAAGAGGTCGTTGTACAATTTATTTAATAAAAAAATTAATTATCATGTAAAAGTTTTACACTATGAATATACCACAATCACCTATAAATATTATTTATTAATAATTAAAATAAAAATAAAATCTAATTAAAAGTTTAACAATTACTCCATCTTTCTCGCATTAAGTATCTTTTTTAAAATTTTCATATTTTTTAAAATTTTCATACTTTTTAAAATAATGATTAATTATATTAATTTTAATGATAAAATGAATTTCATTTAAAAAATAACCTTATTAATAATAACTAATAGAATAGTTATATGAATTAAAATATAATAAATAAAAAAAATCATATTAGTATTCTAAAATAATGAATAATTTGAGACAAATAAAAATAAAAAAGATGATATTTATTGTGAAACAAAAAATATACCATTTAATGAGAGTGTAATACATTTAATTTAAATTCTTTAATAAATAGGTTAGTTGAGAATATAATACAGTATTATTTATTTATTTATTTATTGTGGTGATGGTGAGAGAAGATTAGAAATTAGAGGAGTATATGTGTATCAACAAATATAATACACTACCTAGAAAATACGCATCTTGGTCACCGATTCTAGGCATCTTATCAAGATCCCACATCCGCTCCTTATATCTTCACCTTCCTCAATCCCTTTCTCTTATTCTTCAATTCATTCATTCTTCCTCTCAAACACAAACCTCAAACCAAATAAAAAAACAATGAATGTCTTGTTAGATTCCAACGTTGAGGCTTTAGCTTTCAACTACTTGAACTTTGGCTTAGTCACAGTTCTCAACAATTTATGGACATGGCTAGCTCTTATCACCGCCGCTCTCAGCTTCTGGAAGATTCGCTCATCGGGTTGCCCCAAAGACCCGGTTTCAGTCAAATCCGACGCGGGAGTCGAACCGTCGTTGTTGTCGTTTGAAGATGTAGCGTCGGAAACTGAGAAACCTAGGAAAACATTAAACAAGGTTTTTAATAATGATGATGTTGATGGTGTGAGGAAGGGGAAGTATACGGTGTATTACGAGGAAGACATGCAATGCGGAGGCGGAGAGAGTGGTGGTAATTGTTGTTACGGGCGGTTTCCGGTGGCGGAAGGGTGGCAACCGGAAGATGATGAGTCGGAGTGGTGGAAACGATGGGAGAAGGTGTTGAAGTTGAGAAACGGAGAGAATGAAAATGGGTGGTACACGTGTCAAGATTTGATTGGGTTTAATGGCAACGTGGTTAAAAGATGGGACGGTGGCCTAAGGTTTGGTGGCAGTTGCATCAAAGAGGAATCATCATGGTACAGATCCAGCTGTATGTTGGATTTTGTGTCTCAATGAATGATGGTTTATGAGAAGAAAAAAATAAAGTAGAAATGATTTTTTTTGGTTAGGTGTAGACGTGTAGTTAGTTAGGTTATGTTGTGTTTTGTTTCTGTTGGATTAATAATAGTTTCTCCATTAAGATATGAGAGAGATTATTTAGATTTGTCATTTGGGAATGTATATATGTTGCTGGTGCCATTTCATCAATTTTGTTGTTGATTACAACAATTTTATCATCTTTGTTGTACACGGAAGTGAGTCTCATAATTGGCCAAAATGAGAAACTAGTTTTTGTTGCTTTAAAAAACTTTGTTATAACTAACCATCATAATTAGTATTTATTCAGCTCCCAAGGTGTGCAATAAACTTAAGATTTAAATTGGGTAAACTTGAACGGTTCGATTTAAATCGATTTTTTTTTTTTTTTATGTAAATGGATCGGATCGAATGACAGTTGATTCGATTATTTAATTTAAGTAATATAAGATTGTTTCATTTGAGCTTAAATGATTATTTTTTATCTTTTAAAAATTGAAATTGACCGAATCTAATTAATATTTATTTTATTTATTTTTATTATCATATTATTTACTCTATATTATTTACTCAATATTAAAATGAGGTTCATAATGTTGCAAATTGTTATTATTTTTATAATTTAATCTAGTCATTATGCATTCACAAGAATATTTATGTAATATGAAATTTTGAATATTATTAAATTTATGGTTTAAAATATGATAATGGTTAAATTAATGTCAAATGATATATGTAATAATAATCTTTTTAATAAAAAATATATTTTTTAGATTATTCTAAAATTTTGATAGTTTTTCTAAAATTAAAAAATAAATGTTTGTGAATTTTATAAAAGATTAACCATTTTTATAGATTTACTCGATAAATATTAAATCGATATGGTTTATTCATCAAATCGATTTAATCGAATTCATCAAAAAATTAAAGTTTTATCGGTCAAATTGAACCTTAAAAATGAAATTACAAATTGTGTCAGATTTAAATTTTGGATTCGAAATTGATCCAAATCAATCCATGTCCAGTCTTATCTAGGCTCACAAATGTCTTTACGCATCTACTTAGTCTATATTTTCCAAAGCAATGTGTCAATTCAAAATAGGGTGTATTTATTTTAAATTTTGAAATAACATTTCTTAGAATCCTATTCCTAGGAGTATTATTTTAAATGAATAATATCCTTATGTAAGTGTTTGGTGAAAAATTAAAACTTCCAAAAATGTTCATAATATTTATTTAATTTAAAAAATTATAAAATAAAAAATAAATGTGAGGAAAAGTGGAAAGTTACACTCAATTAAATTTTTTCTTATGAGAATGTTGGATTCTCATCCTTTAAGCATGAGAACAATTATAACAACTTATCTCTAATAATATTTTTTGGAATAAAAATTACCCATGAATAAATTTTTAAAATTTGAAACAAACGTGAAATTATTACATTTTCAATGTCTAATTCTCGGGAATACAATTCCAATTCTTGAAACAAGCACACTCTTACAACATATTTTTGTGAAGTTGCTAATATTACTCTCTTCATCTCACAATGAGTGACTCAGCACACCATTTCACACATATTAAGAAAAGTGTCGAAAAATAAGAAAGAATAAATATTTTTACTATAGTACCCCAAATTATGTATTGAAAATGATGAAAGTTTAATTAATTAGAGGATAAAATTAGAAAAAGTGTTTTGAGAATTGAAACAACTCATTTATTTTGGGACACTATTTTATTTCAAATGAATCGATCATTATAGAACGGAGGAAGTAGCTTCAACCTATCGCACAGCCTCACAATGATTTATACTTAATACTAAACATATGCTTAAGCAACTCTCCCTTATAAACTTTATGTTTGTGGAAAAGTGGATTCCCGTAAGCTTCTCATATCTACCACATAAGCCCCATAGGCCATCACTAACTAGAAATTTCCAATAACTAAATAAGAATACCCCCACATAACAAGACATGTGAGGTCATTCTCGGTCAAACAACTCTAAGGCACGATTATAACAAAGTCTTTCTAGGATATACAACACCATAACAAGGCTAAAGCTTGGAGAGGGTCAAATAGTGGTTACCCAAGATCAAGGTCATCATTAAGGCCACAATTTGGATGAATGTGGGAGTCCATCCTCCCTATATATGTTATAAGGCTTTGATCATAGTACATTGTTAACAAGGATCGTCATATATTTAGCAAGAAGATATGACACCATTATGGTGATTGGGTAAAGATAGTTCATCGGTCATAGTTCCTACATTACATGAAAATGGTGACTCAATCACTCATCCGAGGATAATGAGGCTCTATAAGCAATTGACGTCGCCATAGAAGAATTGCAACACTGAGATGCACACATACATCCAAGCAATCCAACAATAAAGGATTATAGAGGACAATTCTAACCAGGAGTTAGTCTACTCTCACCGACTTTGTGAATAAATATAGAAGGACATTGTTTTAGAGAATTCCAAACCTCCTCACATGGATACCTTCAACTAAACATTATACCCCCTGGAACACTTTAGGACAATCAACATCCAAATGGTTATCATCGAAGTTGCATAACCTTTAAAATGAAAACTCGTTTTGAGTACTATAAAGGATGTCGCACTTTGTTGGTAAATGAGTCTTCCTCTCCACTCAATCATCAGATGCACTAATTTTTCTCAAAAAGATAATCATCAACTTTTGGCAAGCAAGAATCAGTGAGTATCAACAAAAAGTTTCTTCAGTTTTTGTCTAGGGCACTCTAATACCTTGAAGGAATACCTCTCTGATTTCATCGAGGACATAATGCAGGTGTTAGATCCAAATCAATAGATGTTCATAGGAGCATTCCAAAATGATTTGAAATTGGTACATTTCAATGAGCCCTTGATAGAAAATACAACCACATGCATGCATTAAATCATGAAGCGTTCATAATGCTATATCAAATGAGAGGGGAGTAATGCAAAGAAGATGAGTCATGAGGCCAGGAAGTTTTCCCTATAATGAAAAGAGAACTATTCACAAAAATAGAGAGCGACGTTCCTTAACACAACAACTAAAACTAGCCCCCATAGAGGAAAACATATAACTTCCAAATCATCCAAGTTGAATGTAGAGGAAAAGATACATAAATTTTTATTACTAGTGTTTAAGGGTGGAAATAGGCTAGACCGATAATAGGGGAGCCTACATAGGCTCAGGTTAGACCTAGACTTTTTTATAAGCCTATTAGTTAAAAAGGCTAGACACCAGGCTATAAAAAACACCTTTCAGGCCTAACAGGCTGGCCTATCTAAATAAATATGAATAATTTTTTTATTATCATTATGTAACGTTTTGTACTTAGAATCAAAATACATATATAAAACTTGGTTATTTTAGAGAACTTATGAAAATAAGATGAAAACACCTTATGAATAATGTTATAAGTTGTTTTCACAAGTCCTCTTTGTTTACCTTGGTTATTGGTAAACAACCGCTGATCCTCCAAATGGTTACTTATTTGGTTACTCGCAGGATCGATCAGATTGATCCTAGGACATAGGTTGATTTTGAAGTTTTGATTAAATTGGATATTGGTTGAATAACAATAAAATAAAGAGGCTTTAAGTAAATTGCATGAAGAAAGGACTTGGTAAAAGAAATGAAGGCTTAAAGTAAAGGACTTCGACAGGAAAGTAAAGAAGAAAGCAAGTAAATTTCTGGAAAAGTAAATGACTTTGATTAATAAAGTTGGTGTTTCACACATACATTTCTCAACAATTCTTTCTCACACGCTGGGTACTCGAATCTATATGAGTGACTTTGTATAGAATTGTGAACACACGCGAGAAACTACATGACTACTACTATTTATACTAAAACATCCCAAGTAACCGTCGGGCAGTTACGCTGCTTCGAGATGAGTCCACTTGGCACGTTCTCAACGTTCGACGCTCCAGATCTTTGCACGTTGCACTTGGTAACCGTTGGAAACCGTTTTCCCTCCAAACACTTGAATTTCAAACCGTTCCACTCTGAACCATCGAACATCTTCGTCGAGAAGCATCTTCGACGAGAAACACCTTCGACGTCGAAGGCAACCAACTTCTCCCTTGGAAGAAATCTTCTAAGTACTTTGCCATCTTTCGATGGGCATTTCGACGGACCTAGCTGGTCGAAAACATCCTTCAGCTTTAATGGCTGACATTAATGAAACAAGGGTGTCAAATTTAGGAGCCAACAAATTGCCCCCCAAGAATGCCTTATTTCGACTCTGAAAGAAAAAGGCATTCTTTGAAACGCCATTCGACACCTGTCTTTTCAAGCTTAGTCACAAATTAAATTGTGCACTTTTTGTTGTCTTCTACCAACCACTGGCAATCCCAAGAAAAAACCATCATTTATCCGTACCTAAGACGTCACCTCAGTACGGCGTGTAGTGCCAAACGTCATTTCAGAATTTATCATTATGACAATTCCCAAAAACGAGGACGCACGCTGCGCCCCTCCATTTCTGCAGAACGGCTAAAACAACAGGGGGACGCCACGTGTCCCACTATCTCCTGCAACATTAAATGGCATTTAATGTCCTCGGTTTTGGGGATTTTCCCCCACTACTATAAATAGCAGTAAGCACTCACTGTGGGACTTTTTACGCTATCTAGCTTTCAGACTTCTCCATTTGCACACAAACTTGTCATCTTTGCAAAAACCCTTTTTACTTCACTTCGTCTTCATCCTCACCATTAACAATGGCATCTGGTCCCTCCACTGCTCCTAGCGCCACCGTACCATCTGGAAATGTCAAACCTAAGGTTTTCGTCACTGCTCCAGTAGTAACTTCCACGGGCCAACGAAGGGTCCCTGAACCCTTGGACATCGCTGTACGTAATGCTTACTCACACCACCTGATGATCCCGGTTGGATATTCCAACCAGATCTTTGCTATGTCTGGCCCCTTGTATCCAAGTATTGCTGAGGCCATGAAGATCAAGAGT